TTTATAGTTCACTTTTCAATGATAGAACATGTACATTTTTCCATGTCAGTACCACGGCATCTCCCTCAGTCTTTGAAGGGGCTGTGTAGTTTCTCACTGTATTGATAACACTGTCATTTTTGTCTTTTCCTATTAACATATATTTAGATTGCCTTCCCCTTTCACTATTATACAGTATTTTCACAGAATATCCTCACTTATGTAGCATATCTGGGATAGAAGTCCCTAGACCCTTGGCTGACCCAATTTGACTGATTCATAGGATGTACACATTTAATACGTTAATAGATATTGGTAACTTATCCTCCCAAAAGACTGTTTCCATTTACAACCCCAGAGTATATCTGACTCTAATTTTTGTTTTATTTCTGGTTCTTTAGAATTTTCACATTGGTTAGTCAACAATAGAAAATCTGAAGAGATGCTAGCAGAAAGAAGAAATTAAACCAGGTGAGTAATCACACTGTTCATACCGCTCAACCATAACATCACATGTTCTTGCCTAAATACCTGTGTTTGAAGAAAGAAAAGAAATAGATTCCAAATGAAATTTGGAATTTTTAGAAAAGAATTACTGAGAAGGAATTTTGGCTCCTTGAAGAAAAGCAGGCTGGCCCTGTGCGGAAGTTCTAGAGCATCATTTTCAGTCTTGATTCCGTTTAGAGGCAGGATCTGTGTTGTTGTTGGGTGCCATCAAGTCAGTTCTGAGTCACAGTGACCCTGTGTACAGCACTGTGTACGGAACACTGCCCATTTTCCGCCAACTTTGCTGTCAGTTGGAGCCCGTTGTTGCAGCCACTGTGTCAGTCGAGCTCATTGAAGCTCTTCCTCTTTTTCTGCTTCATTGAGCATGATGGCCTCTAGGGACTGGTCCCTCCTGACAGTATGTCCGAAGTATGTAGGATGAAGTCTTAACCGTCCTCACTTCCAAGGAGAATTCTGGCCATTCTTCTAAGACAAATGTGTTTGTTCTTCTGGCAATCCATGGAGTACTCAGTATTCTTTGCTAACACCATAATTCAAATGTTCAGTTCTTCTTTGGTCTTCCTTATTCATTGTCCAGCTCTCTAGTGGATATGAGGTGATTAAAAATAACATAGCTTCCGTCAGACACACCTTAATCCTCAAAGTGACGTCTTTGAAATCTTCTATAGCAGCTTTGCCTAGTACAGTACATTGTTTGATTTCTTGACTGCTGCTTCCATGGATGTTGATTGTGGATCCAAGGAAAATTAAATCCTTGACACCTTCAGTCTTTTTTCTCTTTATCATGTTGTTGCTTATTGGTCCAGTTGTGAGGATTTTTGTTGAAGTATGATCCATACTGAAGGCAATAGTCTTTGATCTTCTTCAGTAAGTGCTTTAAGGTTGTGTCATTGCATATCACAAGTTGTTTATGAGTCTTCCTCCAATCCTGATGCCACATTCGTCTTCATATAGTCAGGCTTCTTGGATCATTTGCTCGGCATACAGATTGAATAAGTATGGTGAAAACATACAACCCCAATGCATGCTTTTCCTGATTTTAAACCATGCAGTATCCCCTTGTTCTGTTGGTCTGTATACAGGCTCTGCATGAGCTTAATTAAGTGTTCTTAAATTCCCATTCTTCTAAATGTTATCTATAATTTGTTATGATCCCCACAGTTGGATGCCTTTGCATAATCAATAAGCACAAGTAAACATCTTTCTGGTACTTACTTTCAGCCAAGAGCCATCTGAATGATGTCCCTTGTTCCGTGTCCTCACACGGATCTGGCTTGAACTTCCGGCAATTCCCTGTCAATGTGCTCCTGCAACTGTTTTTCCAATTATCTTCAGAAAATTTTACTTGAGTGTAATATTAATGATATTGTTGAATAATTTCTGCATTCTGTTGGATCACCTTTCTTTGGAATGGACATAAATGTGAATCTCTTTCAGTTAATTGGCTAGGTAGATGTCTTCCAAATTTCTTTACAGAGACCAGTGAGTGATTCCAGCATTACATCCATTTGTGGATACATCTTAGTTGATACTCTGTCAATTCCTGGAACCTTTTTTTTTTTTTTTTGGCCCGTGCCTTAAGTGCAGCTTAGACTTCTTCCTTAAATGCCATCAGTTCTTGATCATATGCTACCTCAGAAAATGGTTGAACATTGACCAATTCTTTTGGTACAATGGCTATGTATTTATTCCATCTTCTTTTATGCTTCCTTCATTGTTCAGTATTTTGCCCATATTGTGACTCAGGGTTTGAATTTTTCTATAGTTCTTTCAGCTTGAGAAATACCAAGCATGTTCTTCCCTTTTTGTTTTCTAACTCCAGGTCTTTGCACATTTCATTATAATACTTTACTTTGTCTTCTTGAGTTGCCCTTTGAATTTTCTGTTCAGTTCTTACAGTTCATTTCTTTCATTCATTAAAGAGCAAGCTTCAGAGTCTCTTCTGATACCCGTTTTGGTCCTTCCTTTCTTTCCTGTCTTTTTAATGACCTTTTGCTTTCTTCATGTAATGACCTTGATGTCATCTCACAACTCTTCTGATCTTTGGTCATTAGTTTTCAGTGTGTAAGCTAGTCCTGAGACGGTCTTTAAAAGTTCAGGTGGGATATGCAGAAGGTCATACTTCGGCTCTTGGGGATTTGTTGAGATTTTCTTCCTCTTCAGCTTTAACTGGCATGTGAGCAATTGACAGTCTGTTCCATAGTCGACACCTGGCTTTGCTCCGACTGGTATTAGTGAGCTTCATCATCTCTTTGCACAGACAGTCAGTCCGATTCCTGTGTGTCCTCAGATCGTTACCATTTATGTTGTTGAAGAGGGTATTTGCAATGAGTAAGTCATTGCATAATCCTGTCATATGATCTCCAAAGTCCTTTCTGACACCAAGGCTGTATTTTCCAACTACCTGTCCTTCTTTTTTTCCAACTTTTCCATTCCAATCACCAGTAATTTCCAAAGCATCTTGATTGCACGTTTGATCAATTTCAGACTACAGATGTTGGTAAAAATCTTCAATTTCTTTATCTTTGGCATTAGTGGTTGGTGTGTAAATTTGAATAATAGTTGTATTAACTTGTCTTCCTTATAGACATATGAATATTATCCTATCATTGACAATATTGTACTTCAGGATAGATCTTGAAGTGTTCTGTTTTGACAATTAATTTGACAGCATTCCTCTTCAGTTTGTCATTCCCAGCAACCCATATGTTTGTCTGATTTAAAATGGGCAATACCAGTCCATTTCAGCTCACTAATGCCTAGGATATTGATCTTTATGCATTCCGTTTCATTTTTAATGACCTTCAATTTTCCTAGATTCAGAATTTGTACATTCCACATTCCAATTATTAATGGATGTTTGCAGCTGTGTCTTCTCAGGTTCCTTAGTACATCAGAAAAACAATTTATTTCTGCATGTGTAAAGGAGAGTGGGTTTCTTCAACCATATACTTATGGAGATTGAATCATTCACAGGAGATATTAGTAGGCTTGGCCACAATGCCAACTTTCCTCTTAAGTGTTTGTGTAAAGCTATTTTCACAAAGATTAGGGTACATGATAGGAATTTTAATACTGTGATGGAGGATCAAGAGCAGGTGAAACCTAGTCCCCCCAAAAAGGATCTAGCCCAGTACTCTGCTAAGAAGGACATGGTGCCAGTCCCTTACAGTTGGACACAGGGTGCAGTTCATAAAATATGAGTAAATTGCTTAGAAGTGTTACCACTCTTGGTCACTGTTCAGATTTTTATGATATTTAAACATTTTCAGCATAAGTTAATAATGTTAAATTCAAGGCAACATAATAATTGACTTCTCACCTCAAGCACTACTATTTATCCACAAAACTGGTGAAACTTTTTGCAATGTCTAGTCAAGGTAGAGAATCCAGAGATCTTGCCCACCTAGGATCCATGGCTATAATTGTTCAGGTTGTCAGAATAGAAGACCACACATGCCAGGGTGGCCTGTCCCCACCTGGGTCCTCTGTAGCTCAAGCTTTCACAAGGATGCTCAAAAGCTGAGGGAAGAATGTGTCTCTTTGAAGAGCTTACTGGATCCACTCCACTCTGTCCACAAACTAGAATAGAAGGTGCATGAGGAGGGAAAAGGAGTCATTTTTACTCAGCCCTCAGTGTCATGTAGGGAAGAGTACAGCTCTAACTAGTGCAGTTCGGTCTAGACTGCTGCCTAGGCGAAGAAAAGTCATCTTCATTCATTCATTTGTTCAAGTAGTTACAGGGTATCTCCTGTGAGCTGGGTACTAGATCCCAGAGCAAAAGTGGCAGATACAGCCCTTGCCCTCAGGAAGCTTATAGGTTTGGTTGTCAATAGATAAGTAACAGACAGGTCCAGAGGGCTGGTAGGTGGAGTGTACTGAGGCTTGAAAGGTGAATGGGAGATGGCCTGGAGAAGAGTGGGCAGGAAGAGGCTGTTGGGCTCAGAGAGTAGCGTGGTGAAGAGGGTGCGGTGCTCACGAGAGACTGGAAGGAGTTTCAGGAGCTACACACAGTGCAGTAGCTGGAGCTGAGCCTTGAGGTGGCCGTGAGTGAGTCTGGGCTTTATCCTGATGGCTGGGAATGGAAGTCACTGGAGGGTTTTAAGCGTGTGAATCAGAAGACTTCCCTTCCGGTTTGGGTGATGGAGTAGCATGAGTTCCATACCCTCCCCTAGTCTATTCGCATCACCTCTCTCCTCAGTGCCTCTGCTCACTCGCTCCTTGGATCTTCCCGAGGGCTGGGGGCAGAGCCCCAACGCCTGGGAACAGATAGTGCTCCTTGGAGAGGAAAGAGGGGGCTGGGGAACTGGGGGTGGAGTGGGGAGGAGGACACAGTGTAAAGGAGAGAATACAAGTAGCCATGGACAAGTCACTTCACACCTGTGAGCCTCAGCATCCTTGACTTGTTATCTGAGGATCCTAAGTCTCACCTTTCTCCTCTCTCGTCTCATCATGAATATTTTACATACCCAGTTGGGCTTTCCAGAGAAATCTCTCTGCTTTGTTTGCCATGGGATGATTTATTGAAATCCTTAAGAAGATACCACAACTCTTACAGCTACATCTTACCCTCTATGAGAGGAGCAGTTGGGAAACCTTAGACACAGGGTGGGTCAGGCACTAGCGAGCTGACAGTCAGCTCTCTCTGAGTCCTCAGTGGTCATCCACTTGAGACGAGGAAGCATATACTGACAAAGGGCCAGCCAAATGTGTGCTTGGCTACACTCTCAGCCAGAAGCTGCCTGGGCAAAGCTTCTGGAACTACTGTTATTTAAACCATATGCCAAGCGTAATAAGCACCTAAGTACTTCTTAATCTCATTTCATTTAATCCTTTGAAGTTGGCATTATTATCCCCATTGTATGCATGAAACTACTGAGGCTCAAAGCAGTGAAGTAACTTTCCCATGGTTAAGTGGAAAAATCAGACTCTGGAGCCCATCCTCTCCTGTGTTGATACTGGCC